CCACCAGAGCTCCTGGAAGCAAAGCCCAAACCAAACCCCTGGAAGCAAAGCCCAAGCTCAACCCACTGGAAGCAAAGCCCAAACCAAACTCACTGCCATTGACTGGACTTGACTCCTAGCGACCCCTCCTTGGGTTTCCGAGGCGGTATCACTATGGAAGTAGATTGCCCAACCTTCCTTCCGAGGAGAGGCCGGCGGGTTTGAACCGCCAGGCTTCTGGTTAGCAGTCAGGTGTCTTAGGCACTATGACACCAGGGCTCAAACCTCCAAACTCTACTCCTTAAAACCAGCCGCTGTCTAAACCAAAATTAATAAATAAATAAACCCACTGCCTCAAGTCAACCTTGACTTATAGCGACCCCTATTGGGTTTCTGAGGCCTTAAATCTTGATGGAAGGAGATGGCCCGGTGCTGCTTCTGTGGAGTGGCTGGTGGGTTTGAACAGCCAACCCTCTGGTTAGCAGTCAGATGCCTTAGTCACTTTGCTACCCGAGCTCCTTAGCCGCTACCGAGAGAGGCAGGAATCCACGCGTGAGGAGGACACCAGGGAAGGGCGGCGACAGGGAGGGGTCACAGGAAAGCTGTCACGCGCGGGGAACGAGCCAGCGTCACGCAACAAAACGTGTTGATTGAACGTAAAACGAATCTGCTTTGTACAACTGCACCCAAATCACAATAAAAGTGGAAAGAAAAAACCGCCGTCAGGTTGAGTCTGACTGCTGGCGGCCCCACGCGTCCAAGCAGATAGCAGGGCCCACGGGGTTTTCGACGACGCAGCCGTCCGAGCGCCAGGACCGCCCTCCGTGGCACCTGTGCGTGAGCCCGTCCGGCCAGCGCCTGAGCCCACGAACCACCCGCACCACCACAGGCTCTTTTCATTGAAAAAAAAAAAGTTATTGTGATTCGGGTGAAAGTTGACGGAGCAAGTTCATCCTCCGCACGGCAGTGCATGCACGTCTCGTGACACTGACCGCAATTCCCCTCCATGTGACAGCTCTCTTCCCGCTTCCTCCCTGGGGTCCCCTCTTCCCCGGGCCCCCCTTTCCTGTGCACCCCTGCCCCCTGAGCTGTCTCCCGGTGCAAACACTGCCGTCTCTTCTCCCAGGACGGGTCCTTCCAAGGAGCGTATCTCTCTGATGTCCATGTGGACCCTGTCTCCCTGTCTATGGTTTGGCTGGAAGCCGTGGGAGTGGGTTCAGTGTCAGACTTGAAGGGGACCTAGGGGCCATAGTCTCAGGGTTCTCACTATGCTATCAGAGCAGTAAGCCTGGTCTTTCTTATAATTTAGAGTTGTGTTCCACTTTGTTCTCCCTCTCTATCCAGGAGCTCCTATGGACATGCCCCTCTGAGTGGTTGACAGTGGTAGCCGGGCACCATCCAGCTCTTCTGGTCTCATAGTCGTATGGGCTGAGGACTGCATGGTGGACCCGTCCCTCGGACTAACTGTTTCCACGCGTCTTTGGTTTTCTTCATTCCTCTATGCTCTGGATGAGGAGAGACCCGTCGCTGCATCTAGACGGCTGCCTGCAGGCTCCTAAGGTCCCCAGGCAGGATGCTCAACAATGTTCTGTGTGTAGCACGTTATGCAACTGAGCTGGACGTCCGCTGTGGTTGTGGTTGAGCCCACAGGTCCGACCCCTCGCCCCCTCAGGGTGGCTGGCTGTGTCCACGAAGCCATCCCAGCCCATGCCAGCTCTGTTATCTACGTGGGCCTTAGCACAGACCTACAGATACTAGGAAGAAGCAGTGTCTGTCCACCCCACACACGGCCGTGGGGATACTCCCTCGGGCCTAGGCCCACTGGCTCGCTCCGCCTGCCGACTCATCTCTGTTGTCACTGACGAGGCAACGTGCACATGCAAAGAGCTGTATCCTGCCTGGACCTCGCGCAAACCTCTGACCGCACCCTTTAAAAACGGTTGCAGTCAGTCGGTGCGGACTTGGGGGCCCCCACGTGTCCCCCAGCAGAACTATGTTCTTAGGGTTTTTGGGGGTTGATTTTGGGAAGCTGGTCACCGGGCCTATAAAACCCCACGGATCCCCAAGGGTCAGACCCACAGGTGATTGAAGGGCTGGTGCGGGCCCCGCAGCGTTTTGTCCTGCTGAGCGCACGGCTGGAGTCGGGCGGAATGGCTAACTCAGCTCACCTCCAAGGTCGCAGATGAACCGGAAGGGCGACAGGTCGAAGGCGCCCATCACGGCTGCCCCGTGCACACTCCAGACCTCCTGCAGGCCTCGCATGAACCGCACCCGCTCGGCCTCGGACCTGGGGACGGCAGGCGCTGAGACGCACGCAGACCCCTGTGCACCCCGCCCAGCCGGACGTGAGGCCCTGCACCCAACAGGCCTCTGCAGGGGTCGCCCTTGGCCAATCGGGGCACAGGTTAGGAGGGCTGGGGGCGACGGCTGCCCCCAGACTCTCCCAGCTCAGGAGACCCGAGCATGGTGGGCACTAATCCCTGTCTGCAGTCTCTGGTGGCACTATGTGTGGAAATAACACTCTACGGCAGGGGGTTTGCTTTGGGCTTTGCTTCCAGTGGGTGTGGTCGGGGCTTTGCTTCCAGTGGGTGTGGGCGGGGCTCTGATTCCAGTGGGTGTGGGCGGGGCTCTGATTCCAGTGGGTGTGGTCGGGGCTTTGCTTCCAGTGGGTTTGCTTTGGGCTTTGCCTCTGGTGGGTGTGGTTGGGGCTTTGTTTCTGGTGTGAGTGGTTGGGGCTTTGCTTCCAGTGCATTGGGTTGGGGCTTTGCTTCCAGTGGGTTTGGTTGGGGATTTGCTTCCAGTGCGTTTGCTTTGGGCTTTGCCTCTGGTGTGTGTGGCTGGGGCTTTGTTTCCGGTGGGTGTGGCTGGGGCTATGCTTCCAGTGGGTGTGATTTGGGCTTTGCTTCCAGTGTGATTGGTTGGGGCTATGCTTCCAGTGCGTGTGATCTGGGCTTTGCTTCCAGTGGGTTTGTAATTCCAGTGGGTTTGTAATTCTTGCCTCCCCTGTGGCAGACCCGGGATTGACTCCCAGCCCCTGCACTTCCTGTGCAGCTCCCACCCGTCTGTTCGTGGAGAGGCCTGCATGTTGTGTACACTCAACAGGCCTCAGCAGAGCTTCCAGACTAAGACCAGGAACAAAGCCCTGGCAATCCCGCCTCTGAATATAAGTCTGTCAAACCCCACAGAGCCCAGCTGCACTCGGACACACACGGTGTCATTCGTCAGACCAGACGGCACCTTGGTTGGTTCCTCCTGTGTGTGTCCCTGCAGGCACCCTCGGCCACGCCTGGGGCTATTTTAAACACAGCATCCTCCTGTCCCAACCAGGACCTCACCTATAGATGGCCGTGAAGAGCTCCGCGGAGGGAACGCCAAACACCTCTGTGTACTGGTTCCTCCCCTCCCTGGAAAAGGATGAGAGCTGCAGTCCAAGGACCCACATGATGACTGACACTGATGCCCACACCAGCTGGGCCTCAAGGAGGTGCAGTTTAGAACAAAAATATGGAGTTGAGCAATGATTCCAAGACCCATGTCCGTCCAGTTGATTCTGACTGGCAGTGACTCTATAAGACAGAGTGGAACTGCCCCACAGGGTCT